AGACAGGGGGAGAGGGGAAAGGGGAGTGGGAGGAGACCCTCCCTCTTTCTGCTGCCATGAGGTACTGCATTGAGCCATCGTGTCTGGTGGAACCGCACCATTTTCTCCTCCTTGCTAAAGCATCCAGGATGGACCTGCTGAAAACATGATTAGCAGGCTAGATGAACCTTTGATTTGGTCCAGTATGGGAGCATTGTGTTATTATGTTTACATTATTCTGTCCTTCTCCTTGTTTTTAGCTTTGTAGGAATCAGCCAGCGGCAGAAGGGAATTCCTGCCTATCCTAGTTTGGACCTCTGAACAACTGATCCCTGAGATCAGTTCAACAATCTTCAGCGAGGCTGAAGTCTCCCTGGATGACTTAAGCCCATGTCATCCTACCCACAGCACTGTCCATCTGCAATGTGTTTCCTTCTCACTCCAAGTTCACCCTCATGTGTCACCTGTGCTAGTTCAGCCTGAAGGACAGACAGCAGAAGGCTGCTTAGATCTACATTTTCAGTTTGAAGAGATGGTAGCTTTCATTCATCTGCACAGCAGCATTGTTTTAGTCAGAAACCAAACTAACAAGCTCCATGGGGGAGAAAATATCCAGCAAGATACTGATGGTCTTTCATATCAGGTTGGAGGGGGTTCTGTGAAAGGATTCACTAAGCGATATTTGGGAAGAAACATACAAGAGTCAATATCAGACTCATAGAACGTTGTATTCAGGATCCATCACTAGTGACACAGGACTTCTTGCATCTCTGCAGCTAACTCCTCCTTCCAAGGTGCAGCCAACATGGTCAATGTACAATCACTTTCAGCCAAAGGCTTGTTTCTAACAACCTTAATGCTAACATTTATTTGATTGCAAAATTAATATCTTCTATGAATCCTTTCTGTAAACAGAAGAAAACCTCTTTCCTTTAAATGCCTGGAATTGTTAAGTGAGCCTTATGTTAAACACAATGAACTTAAGCAAGGCTTTTTTTGTTTTGTTTCTAGTTAACTGCAAGAGAACACATCTTCATTTGTTTGTGTTAAGATGCAAATTGGAGATAATATTCTTGACCATGGTATGAGATTGTTTACAAGGGACTGAAAAGAAGCCTTCAATGAAATATAGGTATTAAAATATGAAATGAAGTGAAAAAATAGATTTGATCAAATACACAGGCAATAGAAAAGAAATGGAGCACCTGTACAGAAGTTCACTTAGGCATATTACTGCCGTGGTGGAGAGATGAATGGCGATGAGGGCAGTGCTGTGCAGATGAGTGGGAGGAGCGGGGGAGGCAACGAAATGAGGTAACTTAAAGCCATTTCTGTACCCATTTAACTACTGCATTCCCAATCAAGTTTCTTAATAAATTAGAGAAGATGAAGAATGTCTCCAATTTATACCAGCTGCCAGTTGCCTTGCACAATTAAAATGCGCAGAGAGGTACCACTGTGCTCTACAGTCTGCAGGGGCCGTCAGGCTCACAGCAGTACTGTCGGTGTCTCCTGAATCGTCTCCTGTGTTTGTCATCGAGGACTGTGCTATCCATACACGGGAGCAGGATTCTGTCTATGGATGCTCGGTTCTGCTCTGGAATTGCAGTAATATCTGAGCACAAGTTTCCACCTCCATCCTCAGTTCATCTCAGCACATATATCCTTGAAGATGGCACAGAGAGGTTGCTGTAAAGTCAGAAAATAAAGTGATGATAAAGGCACTCTTCTCCTTTGCAAAACTTCTCTGTTTTCTCTGGCAGAGAAGATGGCTATGCCCTTTTATTGTGTACTAAATAGAGCAAATATTTATTAGATGGTGAAAATAAGCAAGCGAACTCCCCTTAAAAATCTATTTTCACATTTACATTTGTTTGAATGAAAATCTTTCTCATATATTCTAGACATGAAATAGCAATGCTCCATGTGCTCCATTTATTTGTTTATAAGTAAATTTGTATATGTGTATGTATTGAAGGATAACAATGAGCGGTACAAATGATACAAATCATATGCAGAAAAAAACCTCTGCCATTAGATTGTGTCATTCTGTTTTATAATTTGCCAGAAATAAATATCTATGTTGACATTTCATCTTCTCAACCCTACATCAGCTTCAGTGCCACAGTCTTCCTGATGATCATGCCTACCAGAAGATGGCACTGAAAGAACCTTTCCTACAGATAGGCCCTAGAAAGAGGAAAACTCAGATTCACAAATGCTTTGAGTTTGTGAATATAAAAGAATTCAAAAGATAACATTTGTTTTTAGGAAAGACTTGTCTTTTTTTCCTCATTTTGTTCTCAAGCATGATGGTGAAGAGGCTAAAAGTCAACCAACCATCATACCTAGTGAATGTCATCTTTTTAGTTTGCCAATTACCTACAAACCTATTGCCATTTTCTCAAGTAAGTCCTCTAATCAAACTACAATGCTGCTGAGCTTTCAAATACAAGACCTTACGAGCAAAAAAGGGTTTTTCTGAGAATTATCACTTATAATTGCTGTTTTCTGACCGGACAATCAAGTCACTTTGAATAGAGCTGTGCTTCTGACTGAAAAAAGGCAGATCTGCAACATCACATGGAAACGTATCTTTTAAATTTTAGTGGAAAATACAAATTATCTTCTAGTGACATGAACTTTTTCACCTTTTAAAGTCATATCTGGTAAATATTAAACATTTTTTTTGCTTCATTCTGAATTTTAGTAGAAGCAGATTCCTGTCTTAAAATGCAAAGCAGTGATTTCAGGTAGGTTCCTACTATTGAATGGCAGCTGAAGGGGTGTAAGTCCTTCAGAGTCAGTAGCAGTTAGAGACAGACAAGAAAAAATTAACAATATATAATATTTTGGTGGAAAAGAGTAATTATTACAGAAAATATAGAGATTACAAGATGGAAACTTGTTCATATCTCTTTCTCTCCAATAGCTGTGGTTTCTCATGGATGATGAAAATGTCTTCAACATGATCCAAATGGCACTTAAGCCTCAGGGTTCACTTCATGTCTTTTGATGCATTTCTGATCAGGCTTTGTTTTGGGATGTGTGGTGGTATAGGACCATTAACCGTTACCAGTAAGTGCTATTGTTAATTACACTAAGCACAATCCTCCAGTTGGTCCATCTGTTATTCATTTCTTATATGTTACCTATTCTTGTTAGGGGCTTTCTCTGTGCTCCAGGAAGACATCTTCTGGTTTTCTTCTGGCTTTTTTAAAATGATGTTAATTCACATATGTCTCAGTGAAATACTTCTATACTTTTTTAAATTTAGCTTTCATTTTTCAAGAGATTTTTAAAGATTATTTTTACATGTGATTTTAGTGTTTAGTTAGGGTGTTGCATCTGTTTAGCTTAGTAAACAACTTTAACGTTGTATTTCATGTAGCGTGCCTCTTGAAAAAATCAATCTCAATATATTTTTGGACAAATTTGGGCTGTTTTCCTCACGTTTAAATATCACATTTTGTTTCTTTGCTGTCATCATGTGAGAACTGTCTCGGTTTCTGTTTCCCTTGCTAAATTCCTCTTTCTTTTTCAGATCCTTATCAACTGAAAAATGGTATTTTCAGTATTATTCACCTGCTGCTTTACTTCTGGTCGGAGCTTAGTTCTGCTACTGGCTGAAACGGTGGTGACGCGGACAGGTTGTAGGTCTACAGCTATCAGCCCATAGCGCTTCGCGCACCGCAACTAATTGCTATAAAGTAATAAGCCGACGTAAAGCAGTCAGATTAGGCTTTAGATAGTTGCAGCATGTTTAAATTTGGGCCCCTGGCTGTTCGTTACCGCGCCTCCGGGAGCGGTCCCGAGCGCCGGCGGGGAGCTGCGGGCACAGCCGGGCGCGCAGCTCCATCTCCCGGGCGGCGGGGAAACCCGCCCGGCAGCCGGGCTGAGCCCGCCCCAAAGCCCGCGACCCCCGGGGAGAGCCGTCGTCTTAGAAATGCCGTCTGGACACTTCAAAGATTGTCCCCCTCTGCTTGGGGAGTATCTCAGTCTTTCCCTGGCAGCGCAGCAGACCGTGTCGCGGCTGAAGAACATTATAGACAGTTCGAGTAGCTGGCTTTGGGGTGGCTTTAAACCTGGAAAGCTGAGCACAAAACAAGTTTGGAAAGTAAGGTCTGGGGCCAGGGGCATGTTTTCCTCCTGTGTTTAGTAAGTTTCTCAGAGATAAGCAGTGAACTGGCCCTGAGAAATGCTTTATTTGTAAAATTTGAGGTTTCATAAATCTAAAGGAGGTGTTGAAGTTAAGGTTAAGTTTAGAATCTGGGAAAATAAGTGTTGCAGAAGCGGGTTTTCTGCCGGATTTTGCAAAGCCATGAGATTGGTACAGGCATGTATGAATACCTGGTTGTTAAACTTGGAGGAGCCATAGGTGTTTAAGCTCTTGTAGGCTGACAGTTACGACTCAGTTTAGAGTTTGGAAAAGATAATTTGGAGATATCTTTCCTGTTACATGTGGTAAGGCTCCGGAGGTAAAGGGAAGGTAGGTCTGAAGACATTTAATGGTCTTATTCAAACTACCTGGGCAACAGGGCAGTTCAGGTCAAGTTTAGGAAAGTCAGATCCCAGCAACATTTCCTTGTGGTGACCTGAGAGGTCCTTCAAGACAGTCACATAAGAAGGGATTTGAATGCCTTTACTCTCAATTTCCAGGCAAGTCTTGTGTTCCCTTTTATGGGGTTACAGTTATGGTTACAGGCAGGATTAGAGGGACACGGAATACTGACAAGCACATTTCCCTCTCTGGTCTGTAGGGTACTCTGTGGCAAGTTCAAGGCTGAATTTGAATATCTTATTCTTACTTTGCAGGAATTGTAGGTGGTCTTGAGCTTTCTTGAAAACTAACAGTAAGTG